CCTCTTCTACACCACTTTTCTCCGGCTACAGTGAAAATATCGGGACTTACGTTTTGCTGTTTTAAAGTTAAAAGAACCCTTTATTAAATGGCCTTTACCGATTTTCAATAAGAGTTATCGTTTTCCACCAATTAAATCTCAAAAAATACCCTTGTTTTTGAGCCGCTACACTAGGATCCCCCCTTAATACCGAAAGATGATGTCAAACAACTGTCTGATGTGTCATGGTGCGTCAAGTCACAGAACAAGCTCACCAGAGAACAATCGTACAAGGTGCTAGAACTCAGACAGAGCTGCCAAATTACAGCATGTAGTGCAGAGCCTTTGAGACACAGGTTTTCTTGTTCATGCAAGGACTACAGACATTCAGGGTGTATATGCAAACACATCAATGCAGTTTTCATACTGTATTTCCGAGAAACTAGCTCAGGTAAATTGTTACTTTGATTTGGTTTTTATTAGAAAACCCATAAAACCCTCCTTGTGGTAGATGTGTTAAAAATCTTTATTGTTTCCTACAGAGACCTCATGCTCAGAAAGATCTTCACCAGAAAAAATGCGGCTTCCAAGCCAGTCTGTTGTGGGCCGGCCTCGCAATAAAACACCAACAAAATCAGACAGACAAAATAAAAAATGTGATACGGCCTGTAAGTGCAGTTCTTCATTTCAATCAGATTGACGAAATCTGTATCATGTTAGCTGGTTATTGGAATTCATTCGCTCTGTAGATACTAACACATTTTTTTGTATTTTTCTCCTGTAGCACAGAGTTTTGAAGAGACTAATCATCATGGAAGCAGTCAGGAACCTCATAATAAGTCTGAGAATTCACTTGTGCAACCTTGGGAGGAGAACTTTGCAAACCCATCCTGGCACAAGCTGAAATCTCTTTGCACATGCAGTGGTGTAACACTGAGTAAAGCTGACTTTGAAAGTCTCAAAGCCCACGAATTCCTGAATGACTCAATTATTGATGTGTTCAGTACCTTAATAATGGCTGATACTGAGAATTGTTATGCCGAAATAGAAACTATTCCTAGTGTAGCACTACAAAACACCGCAATAGGGATGAAATGTTATATGGAGGACATTGTCAATAGCACTTTAATCTTAAATGATTTGTTGATAGTTCTTTCAAACATCAGTTTAAGTCACTGGGTTTCGTTTCTAGTTCTGACGAAACTGAAATGCATTCTAGTCTTGGATCCATTGTATTCTAAGAAGCAGTCTTTGGGTCCAAATGTTATGGAGCACCTCCAGGTACCTTGGTTATTTAGCAAGATTTCAGCTGTAGAGATTAATCTCTACATTTTTCTAGCATTAGAAATTTACAAAATTTTTCTCTTTCTAGATTCTGAGATATTTCTTAGCAAGCAGCCATAGGTTTTCCTTTCAAGGTTTAAATCTTGATTGGAGAGAATGGCAGGTCTATGCCCCTAGGGATTTTCTACGGCAGCAAAATGGGTTTGATTGTGAAGTTTTTATCTCCTTGTGGACTTATTCTGTCAGTTGTGGCAAAAAATTAAATGTGTTGGCAACAGAGATTAAATGTGTAAAAAAGAATGATGTAAATGGACTAAATGGACTTAGGACTTAGGTTAATAACAAGCTTTGCCAGGGGACTTTATTAATTAAGTTTAAGAGCACCTATGATCTTCGTAACACGTTGAGTACATGGCCACACGGTTGGCGATAATACATGTAAACGGATCCCCGGGGCTCAAAGTGTTAAAAGCTACAAACGTTCGAAGTCTTTTACACATCTAACCTCTTATCAAAATTCCGTAATTGGAAACTTATTGGGCGGTTCATACTTACGTTCAATCTCCATTTCGACGCAGATCAGTTAAGATAGTTAAGATTTTATAGTGTGCAAAGTTAGCACAGAAATTAGAGTTGTTTTACAAATCAGCTGTGATAAGCGTCAAGAAATTCAACCAGGCACCAAGGACTACGGCTACAGCTGCAACGTGAGGTGGTAGAAAAACCAAGCGCTGTGGAGGGAATGCCTAAGTTACTATTAAAATGTAGAGTTAATGCAAAAGTTGTGTGTGTGTGAGTGTGTGTGAGTGTGTGTGTGTGTGTGTGTGTGAGAGAGAGAGAGAGAGAGAGAGAGAGAGAGAGAGAGAGATTCAGCACAGCTGCCACCTTGATATCTTAAACGTTAGCATTGGCATACACCAACAAAAAAATTCGAGGAATAGTTTGTTTTGAATGCCAGTGCAAAACTCAATTAACAAATCACAAAATTTTACACAAGTTTCAAGAAATATCTGGGATTAGCTATTTTTGTATTTGTCTTTAGTTGGCTGCACTGGTGGGTGACGCTCACCTCGTGTTCACCGTGCGAGAGCTACGCCACGCCAGTTCTGAAGCAGAGAAAAGAGAGAGAACCGTGTCCATCGAGTAGCCTAGCCGTATTATCTTGTCTCAATCAATCAATAATGGAAGAAGGGAGTACTGAGCGGCAGTTGTCGAGAAGGGTAAGTTAATAAGGCATTTATAAGCGAAGGGGTTTCAATAGGATGGTACTGGATTTTCTATGAGTCGAAGCCAAGCAATCGTGCGTGCCCCATCTGATTGTCAACTCTACCTTTTTTGAAGGAATATTATCAGATAAATACACTGGCAAATCAAGTGTCTAATTTTGCACGTCAATTGATGTTAAAGCTCAAGTGTGCATTTTCTCGACACATTGTGGTGCCTAACTAGGTTGTCTAACTAGGTGTCAACTTTCGACGCTGTAGCAGCTAGCATAGAACTGTGTTTGTATGATGGTGGATTTTCGGTCGCAACGCAGCTAGCGTTACAACAAACGCTCCACTCCCCTTTCACCCTGACTACTTCTCGAGCTTCAATTTAACACTAGCGTTACACGGACGCTCGATGCGTTGCGATCGTGAATCCCCCTTTACATTTACATACATTGCTATTGTTTTCATAGGTATGCACAACTACAACCACCACGATTGAAGAGTATATAGCAGGCGGGTTCAACTCCAGAATTCCCCCACCTGACATTGTAGCTAATGTGCCCCCACCCAATGTGGTCATAGCCAACAATCTGCGGCCAAACAGAGGGTGGTTCCGACATTCAAATGCACGCCAGATATTGCCTGCTCGAGCTGCTGTAGAGCTGGATCCAGTGGATCTTTCGCATCCAGTAGTATGTACTCATCCTTTAAAATATGCAGTCTTACACTAAAATATATCGTTATTTTGATAAGATTTTGTAAATTTGAACTATAATTTTAGTTGGAAATTTACAAGAGCACATTTTCTTAAAGTTTTTGTCCGTTGTTTATTATATATTCCTATTTGTATTGCCAAAGAATGCTGAGCCACTTGCTGCAAACTTCAATATCCCACCGCCGCAGAATTTGCGAGATTTTACCGTGCCCCGGAATGTGGAACCCCAAACGTAGCCCACTGAGCGTGCACCAATCCCACTGCCGGCACCAATACAGCAGGTGCGTAGATACATATTTAAGATCTAGAAGTAAATTTTCTTCTGGTCTTACTATTGTTTTACTTTCTATGTTATACATTTTACTGTTCGTCTCTTCTTTTCAAAGGTTGCTGAACCACTTGGAGTTAATTTTCATGTTCCACCACCTCAGAATCTACGGTATTCTACTCTACCAAGGAACGTGGAACCCAGAACCCGTAATTCCTTTCAGCGTGTAGCTGGCAGAGTGCAACCATTGCCTGAAAGAAGACAGCAGGTACATGTACTGGAATGTTTCAACCATAAGAATACTTT